CCCTCCTCCTCCCTCTGATTACCCAGAGACTCCCCTCCTCCTCCCTCTGATTACTCAGTCTCCCCTCCCACAGCCATCACACACACCACAGTGACAAGAGCTGCCACCCAGCACCTCTGTGGAGAAAAACTTTATCGACTAGAGCAGCGTCTGTGTCATTCCTTTTGCCTCTGGCCTTACAGACGCTGCTCATTTCCAAAGTTACTCAGCACCTTCCTCTGAACACCCTTCAGGAAGGTCACAGAATGCATTTGCAGTAGTTCAGATTCTCGTCCGTCGGCCTCCCCCGCTGGGACCCCCATGTCGTCAATGAATGTTTAAAATCTGCACAAGGTCTGCTCTTGTGTTGTCCAGTTCTACAGGTTCGGACAAATGCACAGTCTCGTGTACCAACCAGGACGGTGCAGCACAGAGCGGCCTCACTGCCACACGCATGCTGCGTTCTATCCACTCTCCCCTTTCCCCAGGAAACAACGGATGCTTTCACCACCACATCATTTCACCTCTTCCAGGTCATCGAGCTGAAATCGCGGTGCGTGGCCTTCTCTCTTAGGAACGTGGATTTCTAGAAACGTGGATTTCAGGTTCCTCCCTGTCGTCGTGGCTTGATGCTCATTTATCGTTACTATCTGTCTTTACGTCTGTCTTTCGTAAATTACCCAGTCTTGGGTATTTCTTTATAGCAGTACGAAAACAGACTAATGGACCATGTTACCCAGGCTGGTCTGGAATTCCTGGCCTCAAGCAACCGTCCTGCCTCAGCCTCCCAAAATGCTGGGATTACAGGTGTGAGCCACCCTGCCCAGCCTGTCTTTCTTCTTCTTGAGCTTTAAGAGTTCTTTGCATATTTTGAATACAAGTCCTTTATCAGATAGATGTTTTGTAAACATTTCTAACAGCTTGTGGTTCACCTTTTCATTCTCTCAACAGCGTCTTTTACGAAGCAGAAGTTTTAATTTTTTCAAGGTCTCACTATGGGGTCCAGGCCGGAGTGCAGTGGTGCTATCGTAGCTCACCGCAGCCTCGACCTCCTGGATTCAAGCAATCCTCTCGCCTCAGCCTCCTGAGTACCTGGAACCACAGGCTTGTACTACCACAATTAGCCAACTTATCTCTTCCTAATTTTTAGTAGAGATGGGGGGGAGGGGTCTCATTATGTTGCCCAGGCTGGTCTTGAACTTGTGACCTCCAGCAATCCTCCTAGATTGGCCTTCCAAAGTGCTAGGATTAGGGGCATGAGCCACACACCCAGCAGACAGTTTTAATTGTAATGAAGTCCAGTTGATCAAGTTTTTATTTTCATGGATTGTGCTGCTGGTATTTTATTATCACCAAACCCAAGGTCACTATACTTTCTCCTGTGGTTTCTCCAAGATGTTTTATAATTAAGGCTGAGCATGAGAGCTCACATCTGTAATCCCGGCAGTTTGGGAGGCCAAAGCAGGGGTTTGAGACCAGCCTGGGCAACACAGTGAGACCTTATCTCTACAAAAAATTTTAAACAGTAGCTGGGTGTGGTGGTGCACACCGGTAGTCTTAGCTCCTTGGGAGGCTGAGGCAGGAGGACTGCTGGAGGCCAGCAGTTGGAGGCTACAGTGAGCTATGACTGCACCACTGCACTCCAGTGTGGGTGACAGAGCAAGACCCTGTCTCAAAAATGAACAAAAAGGAAGTTTTATAGCTTTTCATTTTACATTGAGGCTTATCTAAAATCCATTTAGATAAATGCTCCTGGTGTGCAGCAGTGCGGGTCCAGGCCATGAGAATGGACTCGGGACAGGTGCACCACGGCAATTTCACTGGAAGGAGCCGCAGAGCCATGCGTGAGAAGTGCAAGGCCTGTGTCCAGATCTGCACGTGGATGTCCTGTTGCTCTGGCGCCAGTGTTGAAAAGACCATCCTCTCTCCACGGAATCGCCTTTGTTCCTCTGTTAAGGATCAGTTGCCTGTAGTTGTGCGCGCCTGTTTCTGGGCTTGGTATTTTGGTGTATTTTTGACAGGAAGTCTTGAAATTGTGTAGTGTCTGTGTCCAACTTTGTTATTCTTCAGCCCTATGAGTATATTTATATGCATTGTTTCATATGTATTACAAGTAAGGATATTTATATCTTAAGTGTATTATATTTATATATGTTACATGTATTTTATTGAGTAAAATGTGTGAAGAGGCTTAATTTGCTAAGTTTAAAATGGGATAAAAATGTAATGGGCTGGTGAGGAAAGCTGGACACTCCCCCAAGCTCACCCCGACACAGGCAGATCAGTGAACGGTACCGTGTCCACGCAGTGGAAACTCCCCAGCGAGCCACTGGCAGGCACAGCAAGGACGCCCTCCAGCGGGTGAGTCCGGGCCGGAGGAGCAACTGCGTTCACCAGGAGCAGGGGTGGGCAGCGCAGACCCCGCCCTCACCCAGGCAGATGCACAGGCACTGCCCGAGCCGGGGTGACCCGAGCGCAGGGAGGCACTCTGAGCACAGGGTCAGAGGAAACTTGAACAATGAACATTTTCCACACCTCCATGCAGTGGTGGGCACACAGGGGTATGAATCCGTTAAAAGTCATCAGCCGTATGCGCGAATCAGACATAGATTATAGGTCAATAAAGCTGACTCAAGAAAAACAAAATGGGGCCGGGCGCAGTGGCTCACGCCTGTAATCCTAGCACTTTGGGAAGCTGAGGCGGGTGGACTGTCTGAGCTAAGGAGTTCAAAACCAGCCTAGGCAACATGGTGAAACCTGTCTCCACCAAAATATAAAAAAATCAGTGGGGCGTGGCGGTGCACGGCTATAATCCCAGCTACTCAGGAGGATGAGGCACGAGAATTGCTTGAACCTGGGAGGTGAAGGTTGCAGTGAGCCGAGATCATACCACTGCACTCCAGCCTGGGCAACAGAGCACGACTCTATCTCCCAAAAAAAAAAAACAAAAAACCAGGGAAAAAAGAAAACTATCCCCCAAGGTGGGGAACCTGTTAGGTGCATAAAAACAACATTGACGGCAAGCTGAAGGAAGACACACTAGTTTTATAACTTTTTACCTTTGATAACATAAATATCAACTTCAGAAAATAAGGCTGGGAGCTGCGGTGGCTCAGGCTGGTAGTTCTGGCACTCGGGGAGGCGAGGCTACACGTTCGAGGCCAACCTGGTCAATGCTGACAGAAAAAAATAATTTTTTTTCCATCCTGGCTAACACGGTGAAACCCTGTCTCAAAAAAACCCTGTCTCCACTAAAAATACAAAAAATTATCTGGGCGAGGTGGCGGCGCCTGTAGTCCCAGCTACTCAGGAGGCTGAGGCAGGACGGTTTACACGATTTCACAGAATCGTGTAAACCGGGAGGCGGAGTTTGCAGTGAGCCGAGATTGCGCCACTGCACTCCAGCCTGGGGGACAGAGCGAGACTCCATCTCCAAAAAAATAAACAAATAAAAAAAAAATAAGCCTAACTTCTAGAAAGTATTTTCTTTTTCTTTTTTTTTTTGAGATGGAGTCTCACTGTCAGCAGGTGGAGTGCAGTGGTGCAATCTCGGCTCACTGCAAGCTTCACCTCCCACGTTCATGCGATTGTCCCACCTCAGCCTCCCGAATAGCTGGGACTACGGGCATGAGCCACCAAGCCCAGCTAATTTTTGTATTTTGAGTAGAGACAGGGTTTCACCATGTTGGTCAGGCTGGTCTCGATGTCTTGACCTCGTGATCTGCCCGCCTCAGCCTCCCAAAGTGCTGGGATGACAGGCGTGAGCCACTGCGCCCGGCCTAGAAGGTAGTTTCTACATAAGAAATCTACCCTTGAGGACATCAGATAATTCTCGTATTAAAAGTAAACCAGCACCCCCAGCCTCCTGGATACTCGGTGTGTGGGCACCCTGCGTGTGGGCGCCCTG